CAGTGCTGACATTGCAGGATTTGCAAGTGTGTCGTTATAACAAAGAAATCTGAATCATTACTTCAGACTAAGCAGTTTTATTTCATGCTGTATTCAGTCTTCTCCACATCTTGATACAGAGACCAGAGTTGGAATTGGACTCCAAGGCTATCCATTGTTTTTCAGATACATGGCATTGCATATTAGACCCAGGTTTATTTGCTAGCCTCTGAAATTTCCTTTGGAAACAAGTGGAAATGGCAGGGTTGTAGTTGCTATAGGGCATCTTGCTAAATAAATTCATCAGAGTAATTAAAAGGCTAAGTTGACATCCATTAGAAGTCATAAAACAGTCTGGGTCCTTTAAAACTGATGTTACACTAAGTAAATTATGTGTTTAATTATTTATTGCTTTTATGTTAATATAATATAGTTAAACGCAATTATTTGCAGGCATGTACTGTGGTATCTGGGATATTTATAGTACTGAAGGAGAGTTCCTTTTTTATTGCAGCTCCATTGTGGTCATGTCCTAAAAGCATTTGAGCATGTCTTCCAGAAGGCATTGCTTTATTAACTCTGTTTTCAGTGTTCAGGGTTGGATGAAATCTTTTTAACCTGGCTCAAGAAAATCTAGGTGAAGAACATTTTGGCTTTCAAATAATTTTTAAAAGAACATTTTCAATAAGAAATGGGAACTAAATGCAACAGTTAAACTTTCATATGATTTAAATATAAACATAATATTGTACATTATCTTAAAATATTTCTATACACTTTCGTTTCTAAAGAACATTTTCAATAAGAAATGGGAACTAAATGCAACAGTTAAACTTTCATATGATTTAAATATAAACATAATCTTGTACATTATCTTAATTAAAATATTTCCATACACTTTCGTTTCGTCTCCACACTGTGTACAACTGTCCTACAACGTGAACTGAAATTATTCAAATTGATATTAGTAATTACATGAAAGGAGAGTAGATTCCCCACACATGCCATATGGTTGTAGATAATTTTGGAAGGCTGTAATTAAATTTGGAAGGCTGTAATTTCAATAGAAATTCTTGATGAATATAGTTAAGAGTTTATGAAGAAATGTACAACTAGCAAATATACAGAAGCAAAATACTAAATAAATCAGGGCTATATTTCTTAAGTAATCCGCTAACCTGGTTGAAAAGACACAGGTATTATCACTCCTGTATAAAAAGCTTTTTGTATTGCAGGATATCAAGCATGACTTTGTAATACATAGTATGGTGCATATATTTTATAAATAAAGGATGGGTAGGTGTTGGCTACCTGACTTTGAGAGAGCTGTATTATTCATGAATAGCAAAGCCATAGGTGAATTTGTCAGATTATCTCAAATAAGCACCAACAATGTCATTTACCACACCAGTATGAACTCTGCCGGACAATATTTTATAAAAAATGGCTGTTACAT